CGAGCCGTGGTTAAACGTCGCGAGCAGTCGGGTCTCCCGAGTATTGAACGTTGCGAATTGTTACTATACCGCGTCTATACGAATAGTCAATGAATTCTAACGATTGCTTCAACTCGGTTAATTCCCGCTGAACGTCCCACAGACGCTCCTGTGCGCGGCAATGGCACTTCCTGCAATACACTTCCCGGAAGCGGTACTGTGCACGGGTTTGTGGATTCTTCTTTCGCGGCGGTTCGTATAAATTATACGCCTAGATAAGACCACCGGTATCGGTTCGTCCGTGTATGAGGCTTATTGTCGAATCGCGAGCGCTCGATCGCCGCTCATATCGCAATGACGTCGTAAAACTCGTTCGCGTTGCCCCGCTCACGTCGTTAATCACCGCCCGTAATGTTAAGCGCAAAGCGCAGAGGGGGGGGGACCGGGTTCGTAAAAATGAAAAGTATAAATCCGTGTAATGTGCGATCGGTAATTGATGCTCGGATGCGCGATTCGCGTTGCCGGTCGAAATGACTCCTACGGTCTTCATTGTCGCTTTGCTCTTCTACAGTTGCGGCATATATTAACATATCTTTTAGTCCCTCGCCTGTCTGAATAACAAGTCACGTTCGTGTCGCGCAAACGAGCTTTATTTAGCATAAAGGCTCTGCCCATTTTTTTTTTTTTTCAAGAAACTAGACTATGCGATAGTGTGAATCTCAATGGTTTCATGCAATCGTCGGCCAAATAACCCATCACCTAAAATCTTGCTTTCTGACTCACCGATTGTCAGCAGCTCAGGATCGGCCACGTTCTGCTGCTGTTCTGGGACAAAAAAATATAACATCGTCGATTAGATATAAGAGCTAACGGTTTAACGAGAAAAGTGGGTATGAAGGTGTTAATTTTTTGCGATCGTTGTGAAGGATTTCTCCTTGGACAATTACGTGGCAATTTTCAATCGCAAAAAGTTGAACGCAAGATTATCGGAAAATTGGGGTAAACCTACCTTCAAGCCGACCCTGCTCGGTACGAACCGGATCCTCCGTCACGGCATTCACCGAAACTGCACCTCTTGGTAATCACATCCACTGTGTGGTCACAAGTTCCACCATATCTGAAACAAAAAGCAAGTTCCTAGTTAATAATGTCGTCAACATATCAAGAATATCGTCAACGTCGTTAAGACGTTAACGTATCAAGAATACATAAATTCAGGATAATGTATTTTACTTCGAAACCAGAAAATGAAAAATAGTCATTACTCTCAAGACTCGAGGATGCCTTTATCTAGAAGTGAATAACGGCCGATTGTTTACTTCGATCTTTGTGAAAAAGATGCGCGATTCACGCGTTTCTCCCGACCTTGTAAAATCCTGCATAAATCTTAACTTGATTGCAGCGAGCTTGAAACTTCGACAACGAGAGCGAAATTCTTATAATTATTGAGCTTAGTGTATTCTAATTTGACGAAGCCTTGTCTTTCAAGTAGAGAATCCTGCTTTCCTTTTATACCCTTCATTGAAAACTGCTGAACCAATGGTAATATCACTGTTACCACTTCACACGTATCTATTACAACGAGTACTAGGATAGGAAATGTTAGTGTTAAAACGTTTTTAATTACGTTTCAATTGCGATACGACTTAACGCTTAATCATACCGAGTCGGTTTCCAAGTGCGAGATTAAATATAATTATTTATCGACCGTAATTAAGAGGTGCACGCAACGATCGCGGAAATAAGCCTCTCAACCGTCGATTTTTCCGTGTTGCGTACTCGGACGAAGACGCACAGAAGTTACTGTATTTACATGTAGCTTCTGTGCGCTACCTTGTTATTAATCTCGCTACCTCGCACCGTGCGCGCTCCTTTTCATTATTTTTCGCGTAATCCCGCGTACACACATCGCATGTTACTGCCACCACAAATCCCTTTAATAATCCTTTTGACTGCTAAAGTGAAGCCATAACGCGTTGCGGCGCGGCACGCGATCTCGCTCACCAGTTGTCGCACCGCGCATATCAACGCCGTTAATTGCCAAGTCAAACTGCCGAAAACGCTGCTAAAAAACCGCGCACACAAACTGGTCGTCTCATCGCGCGATGCTCGCTGTTCGCGATACCCGGTGATTATTGCTCATTAACCGTTCAGTTACTAGCGAACGTTAATCAGCAAATGCCATGGCGACTCGCGTCTTTATTACTTCGCAACGCTACCTTCCCAGAAAACCACCCTGTGTCCGTTCTCTCAGCTTCATTGAACCCTTTATTTAATGCACCCATTAGTGCCGTATTTTCAGTGGCGCATCGAGTACGGAAAAAAATTACTCACCGGCATAGTGAATTTCTCAGTTATCGCGCGGACGGCGAAAAGATTTGTTACACGGGAATAATAATTTTTCCGTCGCAGCAAAACACGTTTAGTCGGCATAACCAAATTATTTCACCGTTCGCACATCCAGCAAATAACAATTGATACTTTTAATAACTTTCTTCCTGTTCGTATAACGCACCCTTAACACGTTCATTAACACCGACGTCGCGCTCGCACACGTCTTCACAAGCTGACGTCTAAATGATCGCGCGCGCGTGTGTATGCGTGCGCGCGTTTTTTTTTCATTTTTTTTTAAGGAATCGGCTGTCCCGTCCGTGAATAGTACACGCCTCGAGTGTCTCGACCGCGAATACCGATCGCATGCTCATAATAACAGAGTCATGCGAGCCTCCATCATCATCGATTTTCCGAGGTGGCGAACTGCTTGCGATCGACTGTGCGGAGCATCGCGTCGCGTCACGAGGAGGAGAGAGAGAGAAAGAGAGAGAGCTCTGATTAGTACGTGCCGCGCTGCACCGATAAACGACGCGCAGTCAAGATCGAACCCCGGCGCTGTTTCCGTTTCTTCGTCCTGACACGTTGGTTCTTTCTCCCCTCTCCCCCTCTCTCTCTCTCTCATTCTTGACGCACGCTGTATACTTCTGTTTGGACAGGTTACCACAGGACGTGCTGGCGACGGTGGTGGCACGCCGATCGCCCGGCAAAAAATCGCGAAGCATGCACGAGATATTTACACTTTCGTGCGCGAGATACCGGCCCCGCTAAACGATTCTAGCTAGCGCGAACGCGCTCTCGCCGATGCATCTACGCGATGCAGTGACGTGTTAAATCGCGATGACAGCGACACGTAGGCCGCGAATACTCTAAGGGACACCTGAGCCGGGGTGTCCAGGATCGTTCATTTAAAATTAACCCGCGTCAGTTTTTGCCGAGCCGAGTTAATGCCGCGCGATACCTAGGATTGGATCACCCCTTCCCCTCTTCTCTCTCTCTCTATCTCTCTCTCACTCACTTGCGATCGTGTTTTAAACCGGCGCGGACAGCTGAGCGAGTAGCGCAAAAGGAGGGGTCCCTGGAGCAAAAGCGCGGTAATTAATCTTTCCCGCATTAATATTTAATATGCGGGTAAAAGGAAGGAGTCATCACTTAGCGAGCATTCTTCCGATGTAACAGAAACACGCTTGGCACTCGGTGACGCGAACATCTATCAAACTGTCCGCTCGAACACGTCGAAATTCCTCGTGGTTTCCTCGCGACAGCGCTCTCTCTCTCTCTCTCTCTCTCTACTCTACTCTACTCTCGGTGCGCTTTCATTACGCGGCTTTTTGCATGTACATGACTCACGCCGATATGATCGTCTTATTATTTCGCGATATCGGCGAAGGGGGACTGGGAGAGTGAGCGAGCGATGAATTACCGCGTCGAGCACCCTGTATTTAGCAGTCGCGCGTCCAGGTGATGCGATCGCACCGATTTACCGCGATTTAGCGCGACGCTACCCTGTCACGCGCATCTTTATTGCGCGCCGCGGCCGAGCGGCAACTAATGAAGAAAATGATTACACGGGTGCACGAGCTAATATAGCCGGTCGGGACGCGCTACGACCTCGAATCCTGCGCTCTGTTGTACATATTAGTTCCCGAGGGAGGAGCACAAATGGAAAATCGACCGACTGTTCCCGATAACTCATTGCATTTACCGGGCCGCGCGCGCGCAATCGTGCGTACATTCCGCTATGCCGGACTGTCACGCACGTTATATCTCTTTGATACGCATCCTGCCGTATACAAGGTGTCCGACACATGGCGTGCCAACCCGTTTTTTACATACTTGTTCTTGCACGGGACTTTTTTGTTCACACTGACCTAAACTACAAGTATAAGACAGTTAGCACGCCTTACACCTTGTCTATCTACCTATAGCTTGGAGGAATTAAGATGATTATACTGTATGTAAGCGCGTCTGGCGCTCCGAGAGGGCCGAGACGAGCTCGCTATCGGCGTTGCTCCACTCCTCCCAGGAAAAGCGACTCCGGGACGATTAAAAGAATCGATCGTTATTTCCGATAAAGTCCTTTCACTTATCCGTCGCGTTTTTTTTAACGCATTACGCGAGAAATATCCGTTCACGGCGAGACCGAGCGACCGTCGACGGACGCAACGCGACGTCGCGCCAAATGGACGCTAAAAACAGGCTTTAGTGTAAACCGATTCGATCGACGGCGAGCCTTATCGATAGTATAAATGCCTATCCGCCAGTGGTGCATGCCACCGCAACGTCGCGTTGCAATTTCGCGCCGCAGCTTCATTCATCATAGCCAGCCCACAGAGTAGTACCTCCCGATGGACATTGACGCTCGAGATAAGTGCCATGAATTACGAGTCGGCTGAGAATACGTATCATCGCGCTCAAGATTGAATCATTAGGAGGGAGAGGATAGAGGAGGGGAGGGGAGAGGAGGGGGGGGAGCAAGAAGGAGCGCGATAAGCGAGCAAGGTCGGTCACAAATTAAAACATTCGAAGAACCTGTTCCTCCCTCGTCCGACACGAATTCGTTCGATTCCGCACATTCGTGGACGAAATACGTGTCATTAAACGATATTCACTGACTATGTTGCGGCGAATTAAACGAGAGGACGGGAACTTTTATAATAGATGCTAATTGACGGTTGTGTCCGTTTCAGCGATTTTTCAAAGGACATCGGTGTCGAAAGGCCAACTGAGGATTCAAGGCGTGGCGACCTGCCTTTACCTTTGCATGGATGTCTGCGGCCTGCTCTACGGTTCGGTAAGTGAAACTGCTGTTTCGAGCGCGCTGAAACTTGCGAGCAGACATTTTCGCGTTCCGTCAAAATAAAACATTATTACGATGTAAATGTGAATAATCCAAAACGTATAAGATAAAAATCCAATTTCATATTTGATCGTATCGAAGTAATAATAGATATACAGGGTGTCCCGAAATTAGAACGACAAATTCCGAGTACTTGTAAAGAGCACTAAAACAAATATTTTTTGTCAGCGAATCTATGCCCGCAATGTTTGCCATTTACTTCAATATAGAAACCTATTTGTGGGCATGGCGGTTATTGATAAAAATTACTTGTTTTGACATCTTTTATAATTACCTGAAGTTTCTCGGTCTAATTTTAGAATACCCTATATATCTGAAATTCCAAAAAGTAAATCAGCTGATTGATCGATTAGCAGCATACGTCGTGAAATTATACGATTTTACATTAACCGAGTGAGTTTGTGGGAACATATTTATCTGATTTTAACGAACGGCTTTCACCAATTTATTTCGATTACCGATGTAATTTTAAGGCACGAACGAATTTAATATTTTATACGGCGTCGCTCTCGCGATACGCGGCGGTAATCCCTCCTTCTCTTTCTCCTTTGTGTACCAAGATACTTCCTGTTCGTTATGTCTGCCCCACTGTATCCTGATTTCATGCCGGTCGGAACACACGCGTCCGTAAGGATAAACGGGAGGAGCAGAACTCGAGAGCGGCGGTGCCGATGAAAAATGTGCCTCCCGATCGATGACTGCTTATAATCAACCTGTTCCCCGCACGCTCGTTCTTTCGAGCTATGCGAAGAAGAACCGTGTTATAATCACACCCTTGGTGGTTGTAATTTGATGTTAATAAGCACACGAAAGCTTCGATCGCTTCCATACCGTACACGACGGCGGGATGGACGCGAAACTCTAACTTAATTGCAAAGCTTTCGTAAGCGCATTGAGAGCTTTCATTCCCATTTGTGCGGAAGCGATTCGACGTAACGTTCATTCCAACGAGAATGTTGCGACGTAATACATAAAAGGGAAATCGGAGGAGTCCGGTGTATTCCGTCGAGATGTACGGAGGAAAAGATTTCTTTGGATTTAATAAAATTTCTTTAATTCGGACAAATTTGTCTTTTGGAATAGGTCGTTTGCAAACAAACGAATGTTTGTTTCAACAAACACATTATATATTATTATATATTAAAAATTCTGTTATTACATATTAAACCCAAATCAAACAAACACTAAATCCAAAGAAACCTTTCTCTCTGTGTGAATATGTGAAATAAAACATTGTAAATCCCATTTTTGCACTAAGGCTGATGTCATTACGAGAAAAAAATATAGATGTCATTTGTAATTCTGCCCAAAATAAGTTAATGAGCATAGATTTTTTGAGTGAGATAGATATGTCAGAAATGTCGACATCAGATATGTCCTCGTGAACAATATGTATATTAGATGTACACACAAAGTATACACAGAAGTATACACGAAGAATTCTCTAATCAAGTCATACATATCCACACACATTCCGGCTGTAAATTATGGCCCATACTGATTATCGATATCCCGCGTTCTCTCGAAGGTCAACAAAAACTTAAGAAAAACTTTCGATTGCTCAATCGACTGTAAAATTCTAACTTAATTATAGGCCGAGACCTCATGAATATGATATGTGAGACAAGCTCGACCAGTTGGGTTGAGGGTGACTAGGGTGAAACCGCTAACAACGGCGGAAGTCGCGCATTTTGTTTTTGGAAATATCTCAAAAGACGCAAATTGATTACAGCAAAACAGGCGTGATGTGCATTGAAACCGATCGATTACAGCGACTATAAATAGCGTCTCAACGCAATTAATGATAAAAAGACACTCGTGCTCGGAATATTGAACGAAGAAGATGTTAAATCGTTGCTACTGGGAAGCGGGGGGAGGGAGAGGGGGGTACGACATGTACATCCTCTCGTTATAAAAGTCTTTTTAAAAGTCACGAAGTTTTTAATCGTAAACTTTAAGAGCTACTATTAAAGTTAATCGACGCTAGAATTTCGTTATTGAAATATAAGCGATTAATTAAATTATGTGAAAATTAATCAATGAAGCGGAACCTTCAGAGCAATTAAGCTTCACACGTATAAAATAAATAGGAAAATCTTGCATAATAAACTAAATTATATGATTATGCATTTATATGATAATTTAATTTTAATTATGTTATTCATTGAATTATTTAATTCTTACACATGTGTTACAAATAGTTAAGAATTTAATTACATAGCATCGACGAATCCAATTTTCCTAAACGAGACGCGTGACTGACAGTCGTTGCTACACAGTGATCCATATACAGGCTGGTCAAAGGGCAAGAGGCTTGTTAACGCTGCGCCGCGGAGATAATGAATTATGTCCACGAAAAAAATGCTGGGGAACGCTGTGTGCGACCAAACCGAAACCATCGCGTGATGTTTACGAAGGAGGCGCGCGATTAAGATCTAACTGTTAAAGCTTGACGATTAAGAACATAAATTTATAACGATAAATTTTCCGCGGTTCGTTACGAGATTGAGATCGATAGCACGATTTCCAGAAAATCCTAGCAGTTTTATTAGCTCGATCAACCGTGAAATTACGCCTGATTATAGAGAAGAGCACATAAATATGAAACCCGTCACTGCGTGCTTTGAGGAATCCGAGCGGAAAAGTCGGGATACTCGCTGCTTGTTGTAATTAAAACTTATAACTGTCGAAAATCTCTAAGGGATCTAATAATTAAAGTTATCTACAACCTGCACGTATAATGTACGATGAGACTTGAATAAATTGCGTTCTACAACGGTCATTTGCCTCCCCGCATAAAACGGAATATCAAGATATAAAAATATACTTTCGAAAAGATAATAAAACACCGAATTGAAAAATACATGTCGCTACGTCGCTAATGAGAGCGAGAATGAGAGAAACAGAAGTATATCATTGAAACTAAAAAGGAACAAAATAGAACATTCGGAGCATCGGCAATTTGCTGCACGAATGTATTAAGCGGTAAATTTCAATAAATTAAGACGGTTTTACTTTATATAAAGTCTCGATCGATAAAGCTATAAATATATAAATTCACTTAAAATTAAAATACGATATTCCGATGATAATTTTGTTCCGGTCGTCGTTGACAGAGGATTTAATTTTTATTTAATTGTCTATGCAAATACGTCCATTAAGATGCATTTCGCGAAGTTGTTTCCGACACTGGGAAAAATCAAGGAGACCGGCGCTTTGCTACAAGATCGATTCGAGATATTTATACGCGCGATGCAAAAGTAATCTCGTTCTGTCCTGTAGAATCGCCAATCGATTTCAGTTTTATTGCGATGCGATCTCGACGTACGGGCCCGGGTAATCTCTTTCTGTTCCAAGGATCGATGCTTCGTTTCAGTATCGTTGTAAATGGCGCCTCATTTATGCCGGGCGTATCTACGGGCATGACGGGCATACCTCACCTATAATTAGGTTGATCGGCTTTATTTCCTGTTTACACTACTCCCGATGGTAGATTAAAGGATAAAGGAAATCTCATGCTTCTCTAGATTCATCTGGACGCACCGCGCCTTCATATCGCGTGGAATTCGCACGGAATCTTTTCTTTCAGGCTTCCTCGTATCTGAGGATACGGCGAGCACGTTAATAGGGGATGGATATCCATTGCGTTTCCGATCGCTACGTGATCGCTAGGATTTTCCGCGAATTCCTATCTCCGGCATCGGAGTCGAGTGTGTACGAAAAACTATTCGCGCAACCCATCTTCCTCAAGATGATCTTTCTACGATCGATATCGAGCGAACAACATTGAAAGTCCTTGCAGCGATGTATCCCGTTTCTAACTCGATTCTAAGAGGAGCGCGAATTCCGCCTCCCCTGACAACAGGATCGAACTGTCGCTTTAAATTTCGCGAGTCCGCAGATTCGCACACGCGAAAGCGCTTTTACGAGACGTATTATCTCGTATACATCTATATCTTCCGCATGTATCTACGCGTAAATGCGGCTTGTGACAGCTATCTTCGTGTCGTTTTACGTCACTAAAAGATCGGTCGAACGATACCTTAGTGACATAAAAAAGTAGATACCTATCAAGCGTAGTCGGCACTCTCGTACGTTTTTCGCACGCGTATCGCACTTGAGTTTGCGTGCGTGTCTCGAATGGAACACATGCACACAGCCGGCCGAGGAACACCGCTTGAAACTTACTTATGTAATTTCACGAGGCTCTCTCGAGAGGTATGCAAAATCCCGAGGAAGGGAGGGAGCGGGAGAGAGAGAGAAAGAGAGAGAGAGAGAACTGTAACAGTCGCGCGACAAGTCTCCCCTACGCTCCCGCTGTTTTACGACACAGGACCAGACGAGAGTGCGGGGTCCTTCGGTCCTTCGTTAACCCTTTCGGTGCGCCGGGATTATCAGTCTCGTTAGTCGGGGAGGCGCTTGGCGTCAACAAAAAATCCTTCTCGCGTTTGACGCGCGACAGTAAAACGCAATTGACGACCGGCTGTTGCGCTATCTATACGGTCGTTTAAGCGACAATTGATAAGTCTCGATAATGGAGAAGGCGATGTAAATTATCGGACAAGTGCGAGCAGTTAAAATCGTGGCGGGAAACCAAAGGTCCGGTAACATTCTCGGGAGTTGCTCAATCGGAATGTCAGATTCTTTAATAAAGTGCGTCTTCTTCATTCATTTTTAGCAAAGAAATTCACTTGTTGCAACTCCCTATTCTTAAATGCAGCTGTCACGAACGAAGTGAATTTCTCTATCAAACTGAATGTATTATTATGGTTTAACACTCGCAACATATTGCGCATTTTGAAATGGCACTAGTAAATGCGCGATTCTTCAACGTGTTCCTTCCCGTATTGAAACGAAATTAAGTAAAAGAGTAACGTGCTTTCATTCATCAGCTGAGAAACGAGTGTTGGACACGGACAATCTCCTCAAAAATA